TTCAGAACAGTAAGTGGCAGAGCCAGGATCGAGGCTAGGGTCTTTTTACTCCAAAGCCCAACCCTCTCTATCCCAGAGTGATACAGTATTATGACCTACGTATGCCCTGATACTTAACAAAATTAAAGCATCCTTGGGAATATTTCTAGTTTTCATAGAAAGATCCTCAATCAAGATCATTCTGGAATAGGCAGACGATAAAAAGAAATGGGATGGCAAAATGCAGAGCAAGCAAGGCAAATGAAAGCTACAAACCTCACCCCTAGATAAATGTACACATGAGCCAGGAGCGGTGGCTCATGCCTGTAATCCTACCACTTTGGGAGGCCAAGCTGGGTGGATCACCAGAGGTCGGGCGTTCAAGACCAGCCTGACCAACGTGGTGAAACCTCGCCTCTACTAAATACAAAAAAATTCAGCCGGGCGTGATGGCAGGTGCCTGTAATCGCAGTTACTTGGGAGGCTTAGGTAGAAGAATAGCTTGAACTCAGGAGGCGGAGGCTGCAGTAAGCCGAGACTGCGCTATTGCACTCCAGCCTGGGCAACTGCAAGAGCAAAACTCCGTCTTGAGCCTGTAATTCCTGCACTTTCGGAAGCCAAGACGGGTGGATCACGAGGTCAGGAGATCGAGACCATCCTGGATAACACGGTGAAACCCCATCTTTACTAAAAACACAAAAAATTAGCCGAGCGTGGTGGCAGGCGCCGGTAGCCCCAGCTACTCCAGAGGCTGAGGCGGGAGAATGGCAAGAACCCAGGAGGCGGAGCTTGCAGTGAGCCCAGATGGTGCCACTGCACTCCAGGCTGGGCAACAGAGTGCAACTCTGTCTCAAAAAAAAGTAAAAAAAAAAAAATATATATATATATACACACACACACACAGATGTGCAATTATGTATATAATTTCAGTGGTTCACAAATTCCCTGGGAACCCCACCGACAGGCTTTTCTTCGGATTCCAGGTTAAGAACGGCTACTTTAGGAACTAAATTCATTTATAATATTTAAGTGACCATTCAAATTTCTTTGGCCAGAGTTATGCTATCAGTTAGTGCATAAGCGTTTCACTCACATTGCTCGTGTTCAGAAATCTTTTACCTCGGTAAAATTTACCATCATTCTTACTGTAATGAGCTCTTTGACCTAGAAGTACATACAAGGGAAGTAATGAGATTGGTAGACACATGACACTGGTAGAATTAGTTTAACTGAACATCTGTGTAAAGGCTACCTTTGAGAGTTCAAAGATAGAACAAGGAACACCACACTAAAACAAACCAAAAAAAGGGTTGGCTTTTTGTATCTACAGACAATTACTGGTAAAACTTACATTCCACTTTATACACACATTTGCAAAAATGCACCACAGGCTTCAACATCTTCAGCTGTTATACAAGAAAATGTCACACAACAGGGACATAAATCCACTAGTCTGTTTTTTTCACGTGTATTTGTCTTTTTCTTTATATGTCCTTCTTTCTCATTTTGGGCACTGGTTCGCGGCTTTCCTATTCTCTAGTTCCACTTATAATTCTTTCATTCTACCATTTTTATCCTTGAAAAAGATGTAGGATTATTTTGTTATACAGATTTCATGTTTTCCAGCAACCTAGCTAATCTTTCCCTCAATAAATACATCTAAACCGGTTACTTTCTTAATCTATCCTTCTCAATTGAGTCTTTTAATATGAACCTTTTGATTGTGACAATACATTGCCCCACCAAACAGTTGTAAAATCTAGTTTTAACAGAACCTCCCCAATCCTTGGTATCTGTTCTTCATCCTCCACCATTCCCCAGATGATGTCTGATCACGTCTTCAGCAAGAATTATGTTAGGTTACTTTAGCCAGAACCGGATGTATCCTCTTAATAATTTTCCATCCACTGATCGCCCTAGGTCCAACCATCTTGTTCCTTGGCTACAAATTCTCACTTGCCCATGCTGTGTTCAGAGTTGAGCCCAATCTCTTTCCCAAAATCCCATTACAGTGGTCCATATACTTATTTCGAAGGTCCTGAATAAAGTCTGCCTTACTATACTTGAACGAATATCATCAAATAATTTTTTTAAACAATAGGAAAGGGAGGCACCGTCTATATTGTATACTGGTTTGGAGGCATGCTCCATCCAGCATACTGTCTCGTTTATTTCACAAACATCTGAGTACATCTATGAGAACAATTGTGTTATGTAGACAAAAGAACTAGTGAACACTTGTGGGAGACTTCAAAAACTAGAGAAATGATGTAAAATTTCCTTTTTCTTAATGATTGATAAAGCATGTCAGCCATAAATTTATCTGCAACGTTTAAAAAGTTATATTTTCAACAAGCATAACATGCGGGGAGAAAGAATACAACATAAAATGACTCCTTACCACATAAATTTGGCAATTAATCTTAATATTACCTCCTTAGACTTTAAAGAACACTCCCTAAGCATACAGATTTATAGTATTCAATCCCTTAATTTTTCTAAATATCTTCTAGAATTTGACTTTAGTCTCCTTTCCATAATTGAGAACAATTATTTCTCATAAAGATGGTCTGCACGCCCCAACTTAACTTTCATCTAGGAAATTAGTGTAATGAATGGACCAGACTTTGACGTTTTTAAAATCTGGATTTGAAACCCGGCTCTGCAAACAAGCTAGTACAAGTCACTTGACTCCCTGAATCTCATTTTATTCCCCCTCGTAAAGCATGCTAAAATACATCTCATAATGTTCTAAGGGTGAAATAAAATAAAACATCTCTATTACTTAGCACAGTACTTGGCATAAAATCCAATGTCCAATCAACAAAGTGGATTCTAAGCTTCTCAACTCTTGCAAGAAAGAGCGTGCGTTTCCTTAAATCTCTGCCCTTACAATAACTAGCACTATTCACACACAAGAGAAACTCGGTGACTCCCTGGAACTGCCTTAGGAGAAAGTGACTGGAAGTTTTGACACTCCAGGAACCACCTCCTAAGGCAAGTCCCTGGGAGTCACTGAGTCACTTCATTTCCATTATTTTTTTTGAGGCAGCCCTAATTCCACAGATGTATATTCCAGTATCAGATACACCAAATGTTTACACAAAAATGTTTTCGTGATATTTTAATCGTCTTAATAGCCTTTCAATAGGTTCTCATGGTTCTTAGAACACAAATTCTTTACTATGGCCTAGTGATCTAGTTGGTCCCAGCTCATTTGCCACCCTCACTTACGATGTTCTGGCCACATCTGCCCTCTAGCCAATCCTTAAACACCCTAAGCTTATTGCATCCTCGGGTCCTATTTTCCTTAAATACCCTAAGCTTATTGCATCCTCGGGTCCTATTTTCCTCCAACTGGAATGCCCCTCTCACATCCTAACAGGCTAGGTTCAAACACCGCCTCCTAAGACAGCCCTTGTCTTGAGTTCCCCGCCTTTCCCAGTACTCCACTGTATTCATAGCATAGCACTTCCCCACCACCCCAAATTCTCCCTGCTTTTTTCCCAAGTGAGTTGTCTCCTCTAGACTGTGGGCTTCTTGAGAACAGGGACCGTGTCTGCTTTCACATGCCTCCCCACTGCCTCTATAGAACCGTGTCTGGCACAGAGCAAGCCAGCGACCTCCGGGCTGCGGCTTTGAGGCCCATGGCGCATTCGCTGTAACTGCGCGAACTAACTCCCAGAACAGCCCCCTTTCCTGGGTCTCGAGGCCAAGCGCCTCCTTTCCGCCAGAGCGCCTTCGTCGGGAGCGTTGGCCGCTCATCCTGCCGCGTCACAGGTGAGGTTTAGGATTATCCGCCGCGGTGGACCTCCACGAGACCGCGAAGCAGGTGAACGTCCTCCCGCGGAACGTGAGCTGCCAAGGCTGGGGAGGGGAACAGAAGCTGGCGTCGGCTGCCTCCAGAACCTGTCAGGAGTCTTTTATGTGGACTATGGAGGTGAGGTGTCGGTCAGGGAGGTGGGCCCTGACTCAGAGCAGTAAGAGACAGCAGAAAACTGGTCACCAAAAAACGGCTTCCAAAGAACCAACTGGAAAACTCACCGGAAAGCGTAGGCTGCCCAAACGCCCCGAGGGACTGAAGCTGAAGGGAGGAGCCCTCGTCAGCGGACAGGAGTGCGCGCGTCGAGTTTGCGCAGCCGCAGTAAAAGCCGCAAGTTCTTCGGCGGGCTGCGCAACCGCAGTGGAGGCCTCGTGTGCCCGGGGTGGGGCACGAAACTGGGCGGAGCTAGGCCCCCTCGCGCGCTGACGCGACTGGTCGCGGCGGAAGGGTGTAGGCACGCAGGCGCTATGGTGGCTCGGGGGCAGGGAGGCGGTGCCGCGCAGGCGCTGTGAGAGGCGGTAGCGGCGGCGGCGGCGGCGGTGGTATCGGCGGCAGCTGTGAGGGGGTTCCGGGAAGATGGTGCTGATCAAGGAATTGTAAGTGGGTCCGTGGGCGCGAGCGAGGCCGCGGGACGGCAGTGATGGGAGATTTGTTGATGGAGAAGTGGCAGGATATTCCTAAATCAGAGTCAGCCCTGTGTCAGCCCCTCCCTGCGGGCGCCCCCTCCCTCCCACAGGCGCCCCCTCCCTCCCACAGGCGCCCCCAGCCCCCTCGAAGCCCCTCAGCGAGTGCGCCCCTCGGCCCTCCAGGCACTGCCGTGGTAACACGGCCTCTCTCTTCCCCAGGGCGAAGGCGGCTGGGTCCCGGCCCGAGCGCATGGCTCGGGAAGGCGCGGCCGGGAGTTTCCGCTGGGACCCGCCTTCTCCCCAACCCCCCACCCCTAGTCTGGGTCTGGGCCCACCCCCAGGCCCGCCGGTGGGAAGGAGCCACAGTCTGAGGGTGGGAGAGACACGTTGATTCTGACTGTGATTTGTCGTCCGGGGTGGAGTCCGCTGGTAACCAGCGGGAGATGGGCTTGCCGGTTGAAGGCAGCCCTCGTGTCAAGACTCGCGGTGGGACGTTGGCGCTCTGAAGTTCGTGCTGGAGCCGGGAATCCGGAAGCCTCCACTCTGCTGGGCAGCTCCGTTGACTTGACGGGAGACCCTTTTCTCTTTTTGGTTTCCGCATGTTTTAAGATGAGGTGACATCGTGGGCCCCACCTACTTTCTTAGAAGTTAACACGTGGTCTGTCAAATGGAGGGATTTCGAGGTGCATCCGACCGGCCAAGTGCTTTTGTTGAAAAGTCACGGCTTTTCCCACTGGCAAGGACTGTAAACATTACGGAAATCTGCCTGCCTTTGAATGTTCAACTGTCACAGCTGGTTCGTGTCGTCAGCATCCTTTCGGCAGCTAGGGAGGTCGAGTATGGCCCATTCGTTGGTTTTCAAATACTTCACTTTAAATTCTTAGAAACAGTTTTGGCTTAATTTAGCTTTCTTCAGACACCTTAGTGTTCTTAAACCTCCTTTAAAAAGTCATTGATGTCACTTCTCTGAGGCTTGATACCTCCCAAAGACTCCCTGTCTCACCCAGAATAAAAGTCAAAGCCTCTACAACAGCCACAAGGCTTTACACTTTTTTTTCCTGCCCTGATCTCATTTACTACCTTTCCCTTGCCCATTCCATCTTCGCAAGCTTCCTTGCTGTTCATCTACTACTCCAAAGTAAGTTCAGTCCAAGGCCTTTCCACCTGCTTTTGTTCCTTTTGCTTGAAGTGTTCTTCCCTACGCTCTCTAACTCACCTCCTTCCAGGTCTTTGCTCAGACGTCACCTCAGGAAATCCTTTTCTGAAGACCTAATTGCAGTTCCCACTATTTGGGGTAGTATTTATCTTCCCTGCTTTATCGGTCTCCATAGTACTTATCACCATCCCACGTGCAACAGAATTTATTGTTGATTTTTTTCTCCTACTAGTTGTATTCTCTTTTTGCATGTAAGGGCCATGAGTTTGTTTTGCTCACTCTCATATCCCCAGTTTTTAGAAGAGTGCCTCGCATGTAATAGGTGCTCAGTAAATATTTGTTAATGAATTGATGAAAAATGATAACTTTGGCCAGTGACAGGAATTTTGAGAAGAGACATTTTGCCTTTTGTTGGTAGAGTGAAAATTTGCGGTTAAAGCTTATTTATAGTACTGAATATTGGGCTTATATAAAACTTTTCTTTGAAGTCATTTATACGGTGTATCAAACAAGTGTTCATTACTCTGACTTCTATATGATGTAGGTAGATGGGTGACAGACACTAAAACAAATGGAGAAAATAAGAAAGAAGGAAATTGACTTGGCCCAAGTTACACAGCAAGTGAGTTGCAGAACTGATTTTAAATAGATCTAGTCATTTTTCTTTCGTTGGAGTATTTCCTACCTCCAAAAATGTTACAGAAACACAGTGTTCAGTAGGTCCCTCTGACAGTATGTGAGTAGTACGAAGCTAACTCTTGGAAAGCAGTTCCTGTTGGGAATTTGCGCACTGTACTTTTTGCAAACATTTGCTTTCATTATGAAGATTTAAATGTACCCAGATAATGAATGTTGACACGTGCCCAAAGTCTAATTATTTTTCCCAAAGAGTTATAAATTAGATTTCTTGATGTTAACTCTTTATGTGTATCTCCCCTAGATTTTTTTTCCTCCTAGACTTTTTGAAGGTAGAAGCTGTTTCTTAAGTAATGTCAGTATCTAGCACAGCCTCTAGTCCTAACATGCTGTATTCAGTGTTGTTCAATAAAAAATTGATACTTATTACTCTCAAGTCAACTTTCTAAAATTCTTGTTGGTTAGGAGCAATGAATAGCTTGTTCCTATGTGAAGATATTGGCAACTAAAATATTTTCACAAATGTTTGTTGTCTTACAAAATTCTTTTTTTTAAATTTAATTTAATTTTATTTTTTTGAGGCGGGGTCTCACTCTGTTGCCCAGGCTGGAGTGCAATGGCATCATCTCTGCTCACTACAACCTCCGCCTCCCAGGTTCAAGCGATTTTCCTGCCTCAGCCTCCCAAGTAGCTGGGACTACAGGCGCACACCACCATGCCTGGCTAAGTTTTTTGTATTTTTAGTAGAGACAGGGTTTCACCCTGTTGTCCAGGCTGGTCTGGAACTCCTGACCTCAGGTGATCCGCCCACAAAGTGCTGGGATTACAGGCGTGAGCCACCACGCCTGGCCCTCTATTTATTTTTTTATAAGAATGAAAATGTTAGAAATGACTTTCGGAGTGGGCTGTTTCCCTTCAAGTTATTATGTAAGCAACAGACGAAGTTACCATTAATGTAAACTCCTGGTTTTAAAGAATTAGTTACTGATTCCATTTGGAAATTATGAGGATTTTCAGACATTTGAACATTTTCGATTGGCACTAAAAGTTGAATACTGCTTTTGGAATAACAACAGAAAATCAAAACCTGTATGTTCCTTTTCCCTTTTACTTGTTAAGCAAATCTTGAAGAAGTTACTTGATTCATTGTTCTGAATGTCTTAATCAGTCACTTTCATTTTTTGAAAGAAATTTCCTTGAAAGTGTTCTTAAATAAAAATAGGGATCTTCCTGTTAGTGAGTATAAAATTACTCAGCAGTGATTCTTTGGTTTTGTGAAACTTCAGGGAAGACTAACTTTTCCTTCTCTATCCCTTCCTTCCATTCCCTCTGCAGTCCATCATCTTGGTTCAGGCCTTTGTGACAGTTCTTGCCTAGCCTCTCAAAAGATAACTTTCCCCACTTCTCCTGCTTGTCAGTGTTTTTAACCACCTGCAGATGACTTCTTCAGGTCAACTGTAGTTGTCACTTACCTCTTGGAACAACCTGGGATTCCTTATTGCTAAATGGATTTAATGGATTTCTTACCATAGTATTCCAGGTCCTGATAATCTGCTCCCAGCCTATAGCTTTCTAGTCTCCCCTCCCCCATTTTATGTTCTGGGACAGTGAGCAAGTTAGTGTGTACTGAGGAGAGAACTAAAATGATTCGGAATTTTTAGGTATGGAAGGATTTACAAGAAGTTTGTTCTTGATGGAGAGTAGAAATTAGTGACCATTGTGGGTTTGAGAATGTTAATTGTTTTTGAATCACCATTATCAGAAAGACAGAGCGGTGAGTAACTCAGTAGTCAAAGGGGAGGGAGTAACAGACGTGTTGTACATGTTGGAGATTGAGATAATGTGAACATTCAGGCATAGATGTTTGAGGAGAGTAGGGAGAAAGGAGTAGGTGGAAAGTGTAGCTGAATGCAAACTAGATATAATCTGGGTTGTATTACCCTCTTCATACTTACAAATAAGAAAGACTATTAAAAAAGAATGCCTAGGCCAAAAAGATTGTCACTAATACAAAAAGTAAGCTAAATGGCTCTTACTGTAAGAAAAAAATGAAAAGAAATTATAGCTGAAAAGAAATTGGAATGAGGAAAACTATTGAAAATTTTCCGTAAAATGACAGGTAAGATTAGGATAGTATGAGAAGGATCGTATACCCCCATCCCCCAAAAAAGGAAGTTGCTGTCTTGGAATCAACTGTAATTATATACAGGGATGGTCTTGATTTTCAGAATTTATGGTGGAAATAAATTAAGGACTCTCCTTATAAAATCTAGAGATAAAATGCAATATTTTGATAAAATAATATACCATGATATTGTTTTTGGACTTTGTCTTTTAAGACTGCTTGCAATGGAGCTATAATGACATCTTTTTGATATATACAGTAAGAAACTCTTGGATAGGATCAAACATATGTCAATCTCATATTGTATATATGCTGGAAGGGATTATTATAAGCGTCAAGTAGTTTCCATAGTAAAATTTTTTCTTATTAATTCTACATGACTCCTTATTTTTATCTCAGTAAACTTGAGGAATAATTGAATAGTGGGGGAACAGTTTCTGGAAGCGTTTATTCAATGAGATTCAAGACACGTATTCTGTAAGAAGCATCATAAAAACAAAATGCACAGTATATAGGTGGAGAATGAAACCATTCTAAAAATTTTGTCAGGGCAACCTGACCAGACAATCTACAAATAATACATTCTGTACCCTGCAGTTTTCAATGTTGAGTTTTCTGTTTTTTCTTTACTCACAAGAATCTCTGCAGCTGCTGTTTGGGGTCCTGGGAACACTAAATGCAAATGATCATTGAGACCCAGGAATGGGTCTAATTCCCCAATTAGGGTGTAGGCATTGCAAAGACCCTCTTCCATAAATGACACCCTTGTATTTTTTGATTTAAGAGACCTGTCTCTGTTATCATTGGATTTAAGGTGAAACCTCTTCAGGGATCTGTGTTTAAAGCTATTTCATATGTAATATATATTTTTTTTTCTTTTGTCTTTTTAGCCGTGTGGTTTTGCCATGTTCTGTTCAGGAGGTGAGTTTTTCTTGCTTCTGCATCATTTCATTGGTATATGTACTATACTTTGATATGCTACTCTAAACTCACATTTTCATAGTATTGATTTACCTTTTCCTTCCACCCTACGTGACAAAATTAATTATATGAATGATAATTGCAATGAATTGCAAAATGAATTAAATGAGTGATAATTTCTTGCTACACTGTCTTGTTTTGGAAGAGTCTAAAGAATGTAGTTTAACTTCCTGTCTAGTGCAGGAATTCTTTCTACAACATCCTAGAGAAATGAGGCTCCAGCCTTAACTTAAGTACTTTAAGGTTAAGTAGCTTGCTACTTAGGGAAGCAGTCTGTTTTACTGTTGGACATTTTAAACATTTGTGTTTGAACCAAAATCTGCTTTTCCTATAATGCTTGACTCTTGTTTGCAGTTTATCCCATTTGAGCAATGGGAAATAAGCCTGTTCTGTCTTGCAGTGGTTAATCCTTCAGGTTTTCTGATGGCAGCTCTCCCCTCCAGGCAACCCCATTCCCCATAAGCACTTTTATTTCATCTTAGAAAGTCTCAAGGTTAAACATTCCCAGCACATTCACTTGGCTCAATACAGCATGAGATGTAGACTTCCTACCAGCTGGTCCTATTACTATATGTGTTGTAATTGTTGATCTGAACTGAAAACAGTATTCCAGACATGGTGTGACCAGCACATAACTGTAAGAACTTCTTGTTTTCCTCAGCCTGGATGTGATACAGAAATATATCACCTATTCAGAACTTGCATGTCCTGCAGTTATAGCCATGTGTAGTGTAGCCAAGAATGAAGATAAGAGCAGAAACAGCTTCTGAGAAATCAAGATATATATAGCAAAACCCATAAAACCCTCTAGGCTCTTCTTTAACTTGCACACAGTTCCCATTTGCTCAGTTATCTGGTTTTCCTAGAGCTGACAGTAGATTAGAAACAGTGACTTGGAAGTGGGACAAAACAGACTGATAACCTAAGAAGTGACAGCTGACAAGACAGAAAGAAATGCAGGAAGTGAAAAAGAGTAGCTCTCTGGCACTGTTTAGTGTAGACTTGAACACAGTTGTGTATATCTCAGGAGGATTCACTACATTAAAACACTCCAGAGAAGCCAGGCACCCTATTCTCTGTTTGCACAATTGTTTGAAGTTGAATGTGGAAATTGACATTAGTTTCTGTTAGACTTTTTCTTTTGGTTTCAGCTGGTTGAATCAACTTGTCCAAAATCTCTTTGAGTCTTGGTATTGTCACTGAAAGTACTCTTCTCAGCTTTTTGTTGTACTCCCCCTTTCTTTTGGAGATGGAGTCTCACTCTGTCGCCCAGGCTGGAGTGCAGTGGCACGATCTCAGCTCTCTGCAACCTCTGCCACCCAGGTTCAAGCAATTCTCCCTGCCTCATCCTCCCTAGTAGCTGGGATTACAGGCACCCACCACCGCACCTGGCTAATTTTTGTATATTTAGTAGAGACTGGGTTTCACCATATTGGTCAGGCTGGTCTCGAACTCCTGACCTCAAGTGATCCACCTGCCTCGGCCTCCCAAAGCCCTGGGATTACAAGCATGAGCCACTGTACCAGGCCTACATGCACTTTTAAAACATGCCTTCTGTGTTTATTTCTTATTCTTTTTTTTTTTTTAATTTTTTATTCTTAAAAAAGGAGAATGAGAGAAAGCCTAAGTAGCATGCCTTGAAATATCAGTCCATTAACATTTTTTTGTATACAGTTCTTTTGAATTTTTGTTATTGTGTGTTCATTAACAAAATGAAATTTATCTTTTGACTTAGACTCATTTTAGTCCTGTTTTAGAATATGATAGTGTTTAAAAGTACATGTTGAAGGTATTTAAGGATCGTGGCATTATTAGACTAACCCTAGTGTTGTATCATGGAAAGCCGAAAGGAGAAATACAGTCGTCTCTGCAGGTCCTACAGACATTTATTTTGGGAGCATTTTAGAAATATGTTTGGTTTCAACTTCCCAAACACTTGCAAATTGAGTAAGAGTGTGTATGGGGGTGTGTTTTTAAATTTAACTAATGGGCAAGATAGCAGCGTATCTCCATGCAATTTATAGGTACGAATATTTACTGAGCTTAAACTACCGGTTGTTTTGGTCCCTCACATAAAATGTTAGTTTTGAAATTACAAGTTCTTAGAGGTAGATTTTTGTAGCTTTTCTTTGAAAATATGCTTATAAAGAAAAAATACACTTCTTCAAGCTGTTTTCATTAGAAGGAAGAAATTTAGCCAAATTTGAAGAGATGGAAGGTAGTGCCACGGTTGGGTCACTGGAACAAGTAAGAACACAAGAGCTTTTCCCAATACTTGTTGGAACTAGTGCAGAAAATACAGCTGACTTAGAGATATATTGGCGCAGGCTTCTGAGATTTCTGATTTATGTTAAATGAAATAGAAACTACTGTCAGCAATTTCCTGCCTTTTATGGTAATATGTGTATAGTTATATTACTTTAAAAACAGTTTCTGTTTGTTTACTTGAGGACTCAAAATGAACATTTCTGATCTTGGGCCCCCAGTACTGTTTCTGGTTAGCTGAGGAAGGACCAAATTGGGTGTATCATAAATAAGTCAAGGAAAAAACGACCCCAGAAGTCTACTAAGATTTGGACTATCTATTATGTTTCTTTGGATCTCCAGGCTTTTGTTATTGTAGTTTACATCCTTCCCCTTTATCATTAAGAACAATATGTGGTTGCTCAACTTTAGTTGGCAAAGTGCCAGTTGTATTTCTGCCATAACTTGGAATTTTGTGAAGTTAAATGAGAAATAATAGAGGTGAAAATGCTTTGTAAAGTACAAATATGTATTGTTCAGAAGTTGAAGCAAGTTTTGAGACATTTTCTTGATAAATAGATAGTGTAAAGGCACCAAAGTATTTGTAACTGGCAAATTTTTTGAATAATGAAAGTTCTATAAAATACAGGTTTTTAAAACTGTATAATCATTTGCAGTTTGTCTTCCTAAACGTATTAATTTCTAATTTGAGTTGTGTTCTCATATTGAACACAGTTGTGCTGAATGGTTTGGATATGCTTTTCTATATCTTGTTTATTATTAAGATTTTAGCATACAAAATTTCTGCAATTACTACTGACTTACTGAATTTCTGTGTTCTTTGAAATTTCAGTATCAGGTTGGGCAGCTTTACTCTGTTGCAGAAGCTAGTAAGAATGAGACTGGTGGTGGAGAAGGAATTGAAGTCTTAAAGAATGAACCTTATGAGAAGGATGGAGAAAAGGGACAATATACACACAAAATTTATCACCTAAAGAGGTAAGCGGTGTTCACATTTGACCTGGCTTACTTATGATGCATGTAACTAGCTAACTTAACTAGTAGATGTGAAGTACATTTTTCATTTCAGTGTGATCATATGTCACATTTTAATTTTTTGAAAGAACCTCCTCCTTTATTTGTTATTTGTAAATTAGAGAAGTATTATATCTGCTTATAACAAAAATTCAAATAAAAACTTAGTCCCTGCTCCTTGCCATCAAATATTTGTAGCACAGAGAGAAACACCAGAAGCAGCTTAGAGTTTATCCTTCTAGATCATTTTCTGTATATATTCAAAGGAATTTTTAAAACATAGATAGCAATGTATTACTTGTATCAATTTTAGTTTTCTACAACAAATGGACCATATGAATGGTTTTGCAGTTTGCTTTATTTCTCATGAACATCTTCCATATTGTTATTTAATACCTGTGTGATTGTTTTTAAAGCTGAGTAAAATTTCTTCTGGACGTAGTTTACTTAACTATTCCCTACATTGTAAGTCCATTTAGGTATTTTAGATATTTTCTAGTTTTTGTCTGTTATAAATAATGTTTCTGGCCAGGTGTGGTGGCTCACATCTGTAATCTCAGCACTTTGAGAGGCTGAGGCAGGAGGATTGCTTAAGCCTAGGAGTTCAACACCAGCCTTGGCAACACAGGGAGACCCCATCTCTACAACAACAACAACAAAAACAAATTGACCTGGCACAGTGGCTCATAGCTGTAATCCCAGCACTTGGGAGGCTGAGGCAGGTGGATCATGAGGTCAAGAGATCGAGACCACCCTGGCCAACATGGTGAAACCCTGTCTCTACTAAAAATACAGAAATTAGCTGGTTGTGGTGGCGCACGCCTGTAGTCCCAGCTACTTGGGAGGCTGAGGCAGGAAAACTGCTTGAACCGGGGTGGTGGAGGTTGCAGTGAGCCGAGATCATGCCACTGCACTCCAGCCTGGTGATAGAGTGAGACTCTGTCTCAAAAAAAAAAAAAGAAAAGAAAATAGCGGGACATGGTAGTATATGCCTATGGTCCCAGCTACTTGGGATGCTGAGGTGGGAGGATCTCTTGGACCCAGGATTTAGAGGTTGCAGTGAGCTATGATCACTGCACTTCAGCCTGGGCAAAAGAACAAGACTCTATCTCTAAAAATAAACTTTTGTGAACATGGTTGTACATGTGTCTGTATGCCTTAGGTTACTGTTCCTAAGATAAATTATAGGAGAAATTAATAAAAGGACTACTGGGAGAACCTGCACCTTTTAAATTTTGATATTACTGCCAAAATTGCCCTTACAGAGTTTAATAGTATTTTTCCATATTTTTCTTTTTAATTTTTGCTAATTTCATAGACAAAAAATAGTCTCTTGTTAAAATTCGTATTTCTTTATTAGTGAGGTTGAATGTCTTTTTATGTTAATTGACCGTTTGAGTTTCTTGTACGACTTTTGACTCTTATCCTTTCTTCATTGTTTTTTTTTCTCTTTGGTTTAGTTTTTTTGAACATTCCCCTAAGTTTGACAGTCTAATCTGTATCTTTGTCATAAATATTTTAAAACAAAAAGTGCTGGCCAACTGCAGTGGCTCACACCTATAATTCCAGAACTTTGGGAGGCTGAGGTGGGAGGATTGCTTGAGCTCAGGAGTTTGAGACCAGTCTGGGCAATATAGCGAGACCTCATCTCTACAAAAAGAAAAAACAAGCAAAAAAAAAAAAAAAGGTGCTACCAGTATTTAGCTAAGGGCAGAAGACCAGTAATGGCTGCTAAGAGTCCATTTTGTCATTAGTCTCCCTAGTTAATTACAGGTGGGGGATCTTTTCTCTTGCCTCTATTCTCTTCCTATGGAAATGAATCATACTCATGTTTTGCGGAACTCCTTAAAGCTGTAGGTGTCATGATCAGAAGTTTTTTATATTTCCTCAGCTTAACTCTGCTGCTTGGTTTATAGTGACCCATAACCTACTCATCCTTGGTTTATAGTGACACATAATCTTACCACTTTATAGAACCTTACATTTTAGCATTATTTTCTCTTAGAATACAGCATTTCTTTGCTTCTGTTGCAGGTTTCACTTGAGAAATAAGGCAGTAACTCTGATCAATCAATTATCCGTAGAGAAGGTCTTTTCAAGGTTTCTATTAATTTGTTAGTACCCTAAGTATATCTGAAAAATATGTTTACGGAGAGAAGATTTTGGCATTCCAGATGGTATAGTCTATATAGTATTTAAAGTTTTGAATTTGCTTATATATACTCAGCTTTCTTTTTCTAGCATTTTTGCATTTACCTGTTAATTGAATTATACCACCACATACAAACGTTCTCTTAAAGACACTGGACTCTTCCTGGGGGTTCTAAAATAAGCCAAAAAGTTTGATGTATAAAATTTTTTCTTGGCCTCTAATGTCCTGTTTAGATCACTTTCCTGTAAGTAAATAAATTTGAAATAGATTCAAAATGTCCTCTGGTTGAAATCTAAGAGTTGAAATGTTGAGGAAGTGTTTGATACATTCTTGCATGGAAAAGAACAGTTTGAAATAATATGTAATACATGTTACATGGTTTTGGAAAAAAAATTAGAAAAAAAAAAGCCTAAAAGAGGTGCATTAAAAAATTACCCATATCCCACTACCAGGTGATAAATATACTCTTCTGCATTTTCATTTTTATGAAAAAGAAGAGGAATGTTAAATATGATTTTTGAAACAGTTGATTTAGGTAACACTGCAGCCAAGAATAAGGAGTCTCATAAGTTGAAGAGGGCTAGATAAATATGGTTAGTGCAAGAGATATTCTTATTCTGGAGAGATTATTTGGGGATGAGGTTCAGAATTCCTCTCAGGCTGTTAGTGGGTTAAATAAAAGATTTTGGCTGTCTGGCAGCCAACCTTCCAGCACATTTGGGCTTGTAGAACAACTTCTCCATTCCTAGGAGGAGCGGGGTTCCCTGTGGTTTTACCCTTTCATGCACTCATTTACTACTAATTGCAGTCCTGAGAAATAGACAATATTCATATTGTACCTAAGACACTAAGGCACATATTTACGCAAGGTCACAGGTAATAAGTGACGGAATAGTGACAGAGACCTAGGTGCTCTGATTTCAAATCCCACACCCTTTTGTCCCAGGTGCCTAATGAGTACAAGGCACTCCCTTGAGAAGGGAGAGAGGGGATCTGATGGGATGGCGAGGGTTATTTGATTCCCGTGGAAGGTTGGCCTTATCACACAAAGATGGCAGCTGTGGGCAGAAGCACAGAGAGGAATGAGTCAGGAAAGGGAAAAAGGCAAGACGGTGGCAGTAATGGGTCTCAGGCAGCATGGCAAATAATGACTATTCTGACAGTAGTGAGAAACAAAAACCTATCCAATAGATAAACTGGGCAAAACAAGGCCCATTTGCTGTCCTCTGGAGGAAGGAATGGCTATGGGGCAGTCAGATGTCCACACTGACAAATTTGTCAACATTGAAAGCACATTAGCCACAGGATAAATATGTTTTGGAAGGGCAAAGAATCATTTAGTAGTACGTGCTGAGGCCTTCACTGTGCTGCAGGAAAGACCTCCATCCCAGGACAAGCCTGAAGGTGTAGCCCCATCAGACTTACAGTTTTCTTTAGGGCATCAGCTCAACATGCTGAAGACATACCCACAGTCCCTACTAGTTTTAGAGCTCTCCCTGAGGAAGTTAAATTTGTGTCCAGTAATATGTTTGCTTTTTCAGCATTTACTCCATAAATTATCCTAAGCTGGGTGCACTGTCAGTGTATAGCATCAATAAAACTACAAACTTGACTAAGGCCACCAAGGCCTTATTTTACTTTTGAGATACTTGAAATTCTGAGATCTGCTTTAGCCAGTATAACTCAAGTCTCTGGATCCCCTGACCTGTGTGCTTTCCCATTTCAGCAAAACACTTCTTGGTGGCATATACACTTAATCTCAACCAGAAGGTTGAGAAACAGTCTTTGTGATTATTGACAAAATTCAAAAGTTGTTGACTCATTGCACAGGACATTTGAAATGTCTGGTTTCCTTGAATCTCAGGCAATAAATCATCTCATGGGAGAATGAGATTTTGTCCCTATTTTATTTGATAACTTAGAGTGAGTGGTTGCCCATGGTAATTCTGAACAGAAGATCTAGTACTTATGTATTTTTACTGTGTGCTGATCACTGGGTTATTGGAAGTGTTTCAGTTGGGAGTTTATTCATTCCTCACAGCAACTTTTTATAGTGAGGAAACTGAGGTCCAGAAAGGTTTAACTTACCCCATGTCTCACTGCTATTTGGTAGCAGAGATAGGACTTGAACACAGCCCGACTCCAGAACCTGCCCTCTTAACCACTTTGCTTAGCTAACCACTTTGCTCTACATCTAAGTCCTGTGGTAGAGTTATTTTCCATTTCCTGAAGTTAAATGGGAGTTTACAGAAAAATTCTTCCAAAACCACAGGTTTCACCGTCTCTTACTTTCTCTGAAGTCTTTAACGTCTAAAGTCTTCTTCCAAAATAAAGCTAAACTTAACAAGGTATTTAAGATTCCAATTGTATAAGTCCATCCAGAACAAAAACCTTCGGCTCTAAGTAAGCCAGTCTCTTTGTTATCTTCCTAACATAAACTGTTCAACCCACCCTGATTTTTTTCAGCTCCTTATGCTGAGGCCTCTCATAACCTGCTTGGTTTTCTGAGTACACCTCAGAACTATCCTATGCGGAGGCTTTCCATGGCTGATTTTATTCACTTTGATCCCTCTTCCCTAAACCCATCATATTTGTCATTTCTACTCATTTTGATACCTAGTCATGTATTTCCATATGTGCATGTTTGTCTTGTTGTATCCCATTTTCCACTAAAGTTTGTTTCTTTAATACTCGCTTAGTAGTAGATGGTAGTGAAAGAGGAAGGAATTTACCAGGCAGAGAATTTTAGAGCATGACAAAGAAATGTGTTGAAACTTTCAGATGGTATTTCAGAGAAAAGCCTGTAGCTTTC